TGATAGCAAACTTTAGATCTTTGCTGTATACATAGGTGATATGATCATGGATTCACCATATATGTGTCATATTGCTGCGCTGGATTGTGTCAAGGTTCTTTTCAAGTATTTTGGTCTTTGACTATAAATCCACTCTACAGAGTATTCTCCAAGGGACTAATTGTGGCAGTCTGCCTTCTGTCAGTACATATGAAACTGGAACAACTGTTTGAAACAGAGAACCAGTTTTTGAAAACATGTACACTTGTACTTTGTATCTTCCCTCCTCCCCTTCACCCCCAGCAGTGTGCATTCTTTGGGTATTTTAAGTCTGTGGAGCTTTATAACTTCTACCTCAGTTATGGAGAGTACTCAGAATGCCCTTTGTGAAAGGAAGCCATTGACTGTTCATCTGTGACAGGCTGCTGTGCCTCCATCAAAAAAGGATGCCCAGTCACTGAAAGGGAGGGAAATGTAGCTTGTTGTCCAGCTGCAGATCTGTACTTTCACTTCATGCGCCTCTAGAACTGTTACTGCAGAGTCTTGTAGAAGCCTGTCTGAAAGTGAACCATACCACTTTCCTCATCACCAGCAGGAAAATAGTTTGATTATTTGATTCTTAGGTTTCAGAAGGTTTTTATGAAGGAGGCAAATTGGCCCTAGCATCCAAGCTCATTATCTCATTAATTTAAGTGAAATATTGTTGCTACCTTGGCAGTTTAAAGTGCAACTTTCTTCTCCTTTGACAACTGTCAAAAATAACCCATTTTTATTTGCTTCTGTTTTGTATTAGATTCACTTCAGTTTATGACCACATTACAAAATAACATGGTGGGGTACTTCTTCAGCTGTTAACATTGTACTGGAATAGAACATGTTCTTTCTTGTGTAGTGGAACTTAATCAGTTTTTTGTACATGTTTAGTTACTAATGAATGGACTACTTAATGCAAAGACTCCTTTTCATTTTGCACTGTATAGGAAGTTGCCATGGGTTTAGGGGAGACTTTTTGAGATTACCACATGAAATGAAGCTACTGATAACATGTTTATAGCTTCAGTTTGTGTAAAGAAGTTCTTGTTCTTATAGCTCAAAATTTGCTTTTATTTCTGTGATTTCTACTGTGAGTTTCCTTGAGGTTGTTGTCCCAACCCCATGCCCAGCTGCTCTCCCCCAAGTAGGAAGGTTTTGTAGTTTTGTGCAACTTCTGTGGGCCTGAAAGTTTACATCTGAAATATAGCCTCTTTGGCCATATTCTTCTTATTCCTGAAGTTTTGACAAAATACTAAGATGACAGGTATCTGAGAACTTCCTCTTTTCTGAATTGTTGTAATAGTTTCAGATTTCTGACCTACAGAAGAAAATACAGCTTTAGGGAGACCATTTTACAAGCTTCCTAATGAAGTAGTCTAGATGTTGTCTCTCTTGATTTTGGCCCACTTAAGCTTTAAGTCTTTTGACCAGTTTACAGGAAAAAAAAGTCTGAAACACATATGTTCCTGTAATATGAATGGATGGGTACAAAAGTAATGAACCACTGCCTGTTTCTTCCCTCTTTCTGAACTAGGCATTCACCAGCATAAGAAAGGAATGTGAGAGGGCTGGGTAATGGGGGGGGCTGTGGTACTAGAAAATAAGAAGTGAGGATTTCATAGCTGGATACAGAAATTGTGGTGGGAGAGCTTAGTGTATTGATGTTATTGTGAGATGTAACACTGTGGAAATCCAGGATTTAATCAGTTTTGTTAACTCTTCTGCTCATGAAACTACTTACTTTTGAGATTTTGAATAAAACCACTAAAATTGTGCTATCTGTCCTGTTGCTGGTTTTGATTTGAGGCTATTTTGTTTTCGCTATTATTGAAGTGCTTTTATATCCTCTGTTACAAAATTTGTCATTGATGGTGCATAAAGAATGCATTTTTTCTACTCTACGTTATCTGATATATTCCCTCCTATATGATACTACCTTTCTGTGCTAAGCAGGCAGTTATTTGTTGGCCAGAGATAATTTTTTTTTTTTTTCCAAATTGTCTTTTTGTTAAGCCATTTGAGCCAGCAGTGTAGGTTACATGTGCATTTTATCTGTTAGAGCCTGAAGTCCATGTTCTGCAGCTGTATTAACGGTGTCATGCACAGTCAGACTTTACCTGAACAGTATTATGTGTCTATTTCCACGTGGAGCCAAAGAACTGTGTTCTGGTTAATGCTGAACATTGCATTTGAACATGCTATTTATGGTGCTGGCAAATTACACGATGCCATTCATCACAAGTTACAGCTCTTTGGCTTTTCACTAATTTGGGAAGGACTTCACGGTGGTTTGTTTATTTTAAACTTAAATGTAGTTTACAGAGATTTACTCAGGTTTTCATTACCATTCCTTCCTGATCCAGAAAGTGATTTATCTCTCCCCAAACCCCAAAAAGACAACTTAGTATGTTAGAGATACTTCAAATGCGTATTGTCTTGGCTTTTCTAATATGATACACACATAGTTTTTATACAGGCATTTTTGAAACTGTGTGAAAATCAGTAATTTATTTGGATGTTCAGCATACAGTTCTTATTTGATTGCTGCATGGAGTAGTATCTTGGTTGCATGACTAGTTTCAGAAGGTGCATGTACTTCATGTGTTAAGTAAGGGATTGCTAAATGGAGATACTTATCCCAAAAAGAGTGTGCTGATAGGTCATATTGTCCTGTATTTTGCAACAGCAACAAATAGTGTTTTTAATACTACTACAACTGGCAAGAAATATTAGCTTAACCTCATTCTGCTGGCAAACCAATTTGCTGCTTTTCTTTCTTTTGAAATATTCTTTTGCCTGTGATTTCATAACTATCTGCTTGTATTCCAGAATTTTATTTTTAAGAGGAAGAATAAACCTTATCATTAAAATAGAAGCAGCAGAAGCTCTGCAGTTATTAAATATGTAAGATTTTTAAAAATTAAGAATAAAAAAAATCTATAATAGCTTTAAAATTTTGGAGTTGTTTTCCCTTTCTGGCAAAATCTCCTTCGTTTTTAGTACTTGCCTCTCACCAAAAATTTTGTTTTCTCCTCTCATTGCTGTTGATGTTTTATGAGAGTGATAGTGTTTGTGGTGATGAGCTCTTATGGTTTACTCACAGGTGTTGTGATATTTCATTATTTTTATTCTTAAAATGTATGGTTCCTGAAGCCTGATAATTCATGAGAATCTCATATTTTCAAGAAGGTTTGTATATTTAATTGTTTTACTGCATTCAAAAAACAAAAGGTCAAATCTCATCCTTTTTATTAATTTGAAATTGTTGATTAAAAGCAAATTGAAAAATCTTTTGAGGACCTGGGTTATATTTCAGTTTTTGTGGTTGTAGTTATGTCACATTTAAGAGTAGATTCAGCAGCAAGGTTGTTTGTTAATCATGTTCGTTTTGGTGGTGTGTAGGGATGAATTGGAGCAGAATCCATAAAATGTGCTGTCTAGTTGATCCAGCTAGAACTGGAAAAAGATTATGGCAAAGTGAACACTTCAAGGATCTTAACTGCTAATAAGGCTGTGACTGTAGGTTTTGGGGATGGTAACAAAAAAAAAAAAAATCAAGGAGGGGGAGGTTGCTAAATGGAAGAAGATAAAAAGCTCAGTAGGAAAGGAAAGATAGGGAGTTTCTCTATGATGAAGAGATTGGGGACAAGACAAGTCGCTAACTGTGGTTAGGCAGGAAAAAATGTTGTCGCGATGTGTCTTCAGCTGCTTTTTTGTATCTTCTTTCTCTAGTGGGTCTGGCTGATTTTCTCTTCCATTTTTCTTGACGGTTAATAGAGTCAGGGAATTTAAGATGCATCAGTGTTCGCATATTATGTGTGGGTTTGGATGATGTTAGTCTCTCCCTTGACTGCCTGTGCTCAGAGGGATATCTGGGTGGCGAGTGGTGTTTTAACATTGCGTATCTTCTTATTGTCACTGCCTTCTTCAAATCATTATTTGTATGAGTGACAAACTAGCTCCACCCTTTGCCTTCTAACTGGCATTTCAGTTCTGTTGCTTTTTTTGATCTAACCATGTTCATTCTACTTCTGTTTACTCCCTGTGGCACTCTTCCTCTAACTGCAGTTCAGTGCTACCATGCTTGATATTCCTTGGCCAGCTGACAGCTCACTTATCTAATGCACGTGGAGCCTAACGGTTTCATAGACAGGTACTACTTCTTGTCCTGGGCTTCTGGTCAGTAGGGTTTTTTTTCCCAACCTCTATAATGAACTTTACCCTGCATGTAGATGAACAGAAGTAATGGCTTCACAGAGGGGTGTGAACTCTTCCTATTTAAATTGCTAACTTACAAGTCTGACTAATGTTAACGTGTTTAGTTGTTTATTTGTTGGCTGTTCTAGCAGAAATATTAGTCAAGTATTAGTATAGATCATGGATGGAATTACAGTTCGTGAATGAATGAAATACCACCAGTTCTACTGGCAAATCTGAGTACCTTGTCCTCAGACTTGCTGTCAATATTTTTCTGAAAAAGCACAAGCAATCCTTAGTTGCCAAAATTACAGTTTTGAACAAATGTATGTTGTTTAGTAACATTTACTCTAAAGTTAAAAAGTATTTTTTCCATTTGTATGGTGTGTGTTCAGTTATATAGCCCAAAACTTCATTCTTAACAGTAATACATTGAAGGAACAAGCTCTGATAGCAGACTCAGTTGAAGGCAGGCATTTTAGCCAAAAATTCTGCCACTGTTAATATTTGAGCAGTTTGTAATGCACATAAATATTTGATTTATCGCACATGTTTTACAAAAACTTAAAAGTGAATCAATCTGTGTTCCCTGAACTGTAGAATGTTAAATAATGAGAGCACTTTTATCAATCAGCATGGTTAGAATTTCTACACAGGAACTTTCTGCATTACATATTAAGTGATCTTGTTTGTCTTGATTAATTTTCTACTGCATATTTACGTGGTTACTAGTGAACAGAGGGAGGGGGAGAGAGAGAGATGCATGTAATCGTTTTTGTAATTTTTTTCAGGTATTTTTAGCAGCAATGATGTAGCAGTATCATTTCCAAATGCAGTATCTGGCTCAGGATCTAGCACTCCCGTTTCCAGTTCTCATTTACCTCAGCAGGCTTCAGGCCACTTGCAGCAAGTGGGAGCTCTATCACCTTCAACTGCGCCTTCTATAACTACTGTTGTTGCTGCAACTCAGGTAAACTATCACAAGAGTTTAAGATAGAAAACCATGTTACTCACCTGCTTAATTCCAATGTTAAAAGAAACCATAATTTGTTTGGAAAATAGGTTAATGAACATAATATTTGTTATGAAAAATATGGGGGCTGGAAGTTCCCCATAGCATTGCATAGTCTTAATTTGTAGAGCACATAGTTTTTTTTAAAATGTAGTCTGAGGAAGTATTTATTAATAATAACTATATTATGACTAGTAGCATAAATGCTGGTTGCAGTTCATCAGTGTTCTGACTAATGCTTTATCAGAACATAAGGAAAGGATTTTAAAAAGTGAAATATGTAATGTTTTCCATGTTTTATGCTTAAATGATGGTATCAGTTAAAGGGTGGTTTGTTTGGGAGATTGAACAAATGGACAGCTAGGCTAGCCCTGGCAAGGAGATGGCCAAGGCTGACATCTTGATAACAAATGAATGTTGACATATATGTTACAGTTTTGTATTTGAAAAGTCATGCAAATGAAGATCCATTGTTCATGTTTGATGGTGAAGGAATAAGGGAGGCATAGGAGAAGGACAGAAGGGTGGCATAGTTGAAGTAATGAACCAGAAAAAATACCTTTATGGTAGTATTTTGTATGAATTTAAGTTGGACAAGCTTGCATTTATCAAGATAAGAGAGTATGAAGTAATAGTTGCAGTAAGTCACCATGATTACTGTTGAAGTATGAAGGAATACTACAATATACATGATGGTTTTATACTCCTTGCTTCTTGCATTTTTCATTTTCTGAGGGGAATCTCTCTTACAATGAATATATAAAATATATGTATTTTTGTGTGCTTATAAGCAATGAACTTGTAATTTATCTATAGTGATCTAAGATAGTGGGTATAAACATGAAAAAATCAAGCTTATTGTGTGTATGTGTGCACAAGCAGGTGTGTATACTGCATGGATAGCAGAAATACTATATGAAGACCAACACAGATTACATTTCAATATCAAACAGCAATTTGTTTTTATAGGGGGCAGTTCATATTTTTACATTATTCTTCTGGACTGGTTTTCTAAAGAAATAAGGTGGTTTCACCCAAAATTGAGTGGTATCTCTTTTGCACAAATTGATAGAAACTACCTTAAAGAAACTAATTAAAATTTTGATACTTTAGAAAGTTCTCCTTTTTTTCATTTCCAAATATTACGTACTCTAACTCACTGACAACACTTAAACTGAACAGTTTGGAGTTCAGGGGGAGGGGTTGTGTCATAGTTTAGTAGCAGGTTAAAAGTTTTTAAAACCCAAATAAGTCAGTGCTCAGTTTTCACAGAGGAGACGTTTGCCATCAGAGTCTTTTGAAGACTTGGCCTTTTGTACAGCTCAATGTATCCATAAATGGTCTGGGGAAAGGAGGAGGAACAACACTTGCCAAGTTTGCTGATTATGCTGGGTTATGCAATGAGCCATTATGAAGATCAGCTGTCACAAACTGCTGAAAGACCTCAACCAGCCTGTGTTGACAAGGTGGTAAGAGGGCAAATAAAATCAATGTTTAAGGGAAGGGACAGTTTCTATTCAAAACAGATACGGTACATGCCAGAAGAGGTACAAGAAGAGCCATGGCAGTGAACAATGGCAAAGAACATCTTTATAAGAAGTGAGTAAATAGTGAGGGACTTGTGGCCTCAAAAAGAGACACTGAGATGGGCTAAGACAAAGGTCGGTAAAATCAATTGACATGGAGAAGTTAAATAAGCAAGAGTTGCGCACCATCACTTCTGTTTGTTAACCTCTGTCAGAAGATAAACAGATTGGAAAAGCAATTGGACAAAACACATATTTTATGAGCCAGGAAGAGAAATACCATAGTATTTTTTTTCCTCATGTCACAAAAAAAGAGAAGTGTACCCTAGGAGATGGACCATCTCTTACTGTTTAGTTAAGCTAGAGAGCCCTCCATAGGTTAACTGCTTAAAATTCCTGTCCTTCCTTTGCCTTTGTTTCTTGTGAGTTGCCCTGGGGGCTTTTTTTTTTTAACCCCAAAGAAGCAAAGGAGTCATGTATCTTGTCTCACTACCAAACTTGTTCTCAAGTGGTCGTAGATTTACTTGTCAGGACCTTATTCACAAGGTACTACCATCTAAAGAGTGTTGGGTTTGAGATATACAGGGAGATTGAAATTGTGAATTTTGATTGACAGCCATAAAGGTGAGCTTCTGTATTTGAATTAATGAAGTCCTCCACTGCTTCAGTGAGTCTTCTTTCTTTGCATATGGTCCATACTGCCTTGAAGAGATGCAGTCAGGAGCGCCTAGTTTACCATGCAGTTGTTCTCCACTTGAAGCAACCTTTTTTTTTTTTTATCTCTTCCCCCACCCTCTCCTCATTTAGCATAAATGACTGATTATATGTCAAGGGTTAGGGTTTACCTACTTACTTCTGCAAAGTTCCATCAGAGTGCTGTCTGCTTACTGGGCTCTTGTGGATGTATTCTCAGTGTTTACCCACCTCTTGACCATGGAAGTCTTCAAGTAAGAGTGTGCCAGTATGTTTTTTGTGTACTGTTCTGATGAAAAGAAAACTATCATCCTAGGTTAGAAGCTAAGGTAAGCTTGTACCTCTGTACAGGTGAAAAGTAATAGTTAAAAAATTATGTTTTACTTTAACTATTAGTTAAAAGAGCAAGTATGACCAAATCTTGTCTGCTCACTTAGTCATGGTAGCAGATGTGCTATTGGTATAGCCCTAGAACTTGGAATAGCCTCAAATATGTGCTGCTGAGGTGCATCCTGTAAGATTTCAGTTGGCTTTTTAGATCTCTGTTGGGCATTTGTAATTATGATTTTGGGGAAATCATAAATTTGTAGATTTTTGAAGGATTTTTTTTTGCATATCTCTTTTTTTTCAAGGGTGTTAAGAAATTCTAAAGAGAAGGTCTTGGGAAAAAATATGTTCCCATAGAATTAGTCTCAGAATTAGATACATTCTGGTTAGAATGGCATGATAGGCATCTAAGACAGAATAATTTGTACGTAGCATAAAAAAAAACTTGCAAACAGTTGAAAGCAACTGCCTTAAATTATAGGTAATACTGTTATTAAAAACTGCTATTAAATTAATACTACTCAAAATGACAAAATAACTTCTGTTACTTTTAATAACTTACAGGCCTGTATAAAACTTTGGTGATTAAAATCCCAAAGTGCTGTTTTTTCCTTCAACAATTATACAACACTGATTTTAAAGCTTAAAAAACCTCACAACTTGAAAATTCTGGATTTTGAGTTTTCATTCTACTGACTAGTATGATAGTTAGCACACTGTGGTGGTTGTTTTCAAGACAAAAACACAATATGGACCTTGTTACCCCTTTTCTGCCTCATTTTCTTTTCTCTCATGCCACTCATAGTTTTTATTCTAAACTAATAAATCCAGAAGACATTATGAACTTGTGTTCCATGCTATGCCATAACTGATTTAAAGTGCTGGTGTTCCTCACCAGGTGGGAACCAGTGGACTAGTAAAAGTGCCACTTAATGGAAATGCAAATTATTTTGCATGCTGGTCTTTTTTTATTGTCTTGGGCATAGATTCAGGTTACACTGCTTAATTCAATAAGGCATTATTAGCTAACAATGCATTTAACAGTTGCAAAATGTAGTTTAAAAGGGATACAGGAGAAAAGGGGTACAGTCCACACAAATATTTTTCTCCTCCAAATATTTTTGTTGCTCTTTACATGTTTGTGGGTACTGCTTATTTCATATGTGACAGCAAATTGCCGTATCCTAAACTTACAGCTTTTCTCTCAGAAGTGTGTCTTTAACTTTCATATGGTTATTGATATGTGCTCTGTTATTGAGAAAAATGGCTTTCTTCTGTTTGGATTTTGAATATCATCTTTAATTTCCCGTTTTAAGCCAGGTCATGAGTTGCACCACTCAAACACCTTATGCTTGGTTTTTATCTCAAATATTTCACAGTGCTTCATAGTTACAGCAAAAATGTTTGTTAGCCTGTTATGCTGTTCTGTAACAATTTGCTGCACTGCTCTTTTCTGGTCAGTTATTCTTAATGATTAACATGTTCATAAAAAAAGCGATCTGGGTGCCTCAGTATCTTCTGGTGTTGTACAGAAGGATTTGTTTTATTCACGTAGTACTGTATAATTGAATGTTTGCTACTTTGGTTGGGATTGAGATTGAAATTGCTTGCGCTGTGTGTTCTTTTTGATGACTTAAATTAGTGAAATTACCTACTAGAGCTCTGTGGCCAAGTGTTTCTGGGGTCCCCAGGTGCTGAATGCAGAATCAAACTGCAGAATTGGAAGTAAGGGTTTTTGACTGGGCTTTCTTCAGTCATTGATTGTTAAAGCCATTTAATGGTTCAACCTGTATTGCTTTCAAGAAAAAGAAGCATTTAAGTGTCTTGTAATCTCATTTCAATAGTGCTTTTAGTGAGAGTGGAAATAGCATGTGGTAGTTTGCTTAAATACATAGTCTTACTTTAAAAATTTGTAACTCATCAGATTTCTGGGGTTCATATTGTATGATCCAGTATGGTATGATCTTACATTAATCTCAGTCCATTGAGAAATTTTAAGGATTTATTCTTATTTTGAAAATTTACTATCAAATTTTCACTTCGATTTTTTTTTTTTTTTCATTCTACTCTGTGGTGGTATCTCTGCTCTTGTGACTGTAACAAGTACCTCTTCAATTTCAAGCAATATAGCACATACTTGTTACTAACCTCTTCTACAGATACAGTCCAGAAGATTTTCTTACCATGGGATTTTTTGCTGCTGCTAGATTCTTCTTTCTTTTCAAAGTGTTTTTTTCTTCTGCAGCTTTTGTTTTATTTTCTTCCTAAATTCCCAACTCCTGCTTTATGCACTGTGCTTCCTTTGCCACAGAGGCAGATAATGAAGAGGGAAAAGGACAAGTATCTGTAACAGCAGTCCTCGTGGCTTGCTCAGAGATAGGGAAACTGAACAGTTGCTGTTTGTTATTCTCT